GTTTTTCTAAAGTCGCTAATAAGTGACAGTAGCAACTGTAAGTGAATGTGAATATTTCATTTTCCAATAATTTATATTATGTTTGCGTGGCAGCGCACTTGTGTCTGTCAAGATTAAATAGAGTCGATGGAGCTTTTGTCCACCTCTAAACTTTGATATTGATGAACTTTGTTCAACCTGGTCTGACAGAGAAAGCGAGAGATGATGATAAATACACACAGCTATTGTTTCAGTTTTTAAAACATCATCAAATAAAAATTCATTGGTAAAATGTCTGCATATAGAAAAACAGACACACACGAGAGAGGTTCAACTATTCAATGTGACATTTAGCTAATCAGATCTGAGGGAGGAAAGTGTGCGGTAAACAAATTCCTCACTCCCCACGCCCCCACTCTTCTATAGCTCTCCCTACCCTCTCACTAATCAACACAAGAGCTTTTAGAGTGCAGAGAGGGATTTGTATTTACTCACCAATTCATGTCAACAGCCAAATCTGCTTCATGAAAACGAATAAACAACTATTTACCCCATAAACACTCCACATAGAAAAGCATCTCCTTCATAAAAGTTACAATGAATATTAGCAGTATGTCACCATCGGTTAAGCAAAAGCGACTGCAAAGTAAAATGTGAACACACGTTGAATGAATGACTACAGCTCAGATCTTTTTATATGAAACTGATAAAAGTTTGTTTTGAATGTGAGGATCTATTCTGTGATGCAACCAGCAATGAGAGCATCAGTTGACATGTAATTATATTGGGATCACCAAACGTCTTCATATGGCTAAAAGAACACTATTGTATTAACTCAGTACCAGTTACCCAACATAAGAATCCACATTAACCAGCAACAAACAACATATCTTCTGCGTGTACTGCCAGCAAATTCATGGCCTGTTGTTTAGGGTCTGAATGTACGATACACTTGTTAAATGCAGTGAAGTATTCAGAGCACTTACAGCACAGTTGAGTGGCAAAGGCTGTCACTGCTTGTGTACGTGTTATATTTTTGTTTTTAATTTTTAATATTGAATTTTGAGGAGAAGAATGAATTATGTATGTATACTTTCCAGATAAACTGCACAAACCAGGTTTTTTGGCTGGATAATAAACTAATTTGAGACAGAGTTCCATAAATGTCTTTCAAAATTGTGTCTCCTGTTGATTTGTCTTTAAATATGCTGCTACAGAGTAAGTCGAATTTCATTTGGTATGTTATCACTTTTCTGTTTTTCATATTTTCATATATATACATGGTGGAAAAAGTCAGTGAACATACAAGAAGAACTTTCTTCACACGTGCAATTTCACAGTTTGCAGTCAAGTTAGAAGGGAGTACGTTGAAGCAAGTTTGACATAGAAATGTTTTCTTTGTGTTAGCAGGCTCAAAAAACCCCAACAGCAAAGTGGCAGATGAATATTTTAATATATTTACTGCTTGGCGCTGCTATTTATATTAATCTGAGAGCTGCCTACTCGAACTCTGAAACTTTAAACTGCATGCACTTGAAGGTTGCTCTGTTTTATACTGTGACTCTCCCCAACTGCCTATTGAAGGAGATCTGGGAATTGCTATAGTTTGCGGCCAGATCATGAAAAGCATTAATAGACGTGGCAGCAGACAGTATCACAAATATATGGAAATTCCTCCAAAACACCTGAACCTTTACAGCTGGCCTCTAAAGGTGGGTTAAGCTTGTCAGGCTGCATATTTAATTGTTATTTCTGCTAAGAATCTACATCACGGTTAGATAACATAACAAACACCAAGTTCACACATAACAATGTTCCTAAGTGCAGAGGAGCCCCTGGGTAGTTCGCCAGTGATCTATTTTGTAATCGTATCATCAGATCTGCGGCCGTATGTTCTGGACATTTGGGTGAAGAAAGGAGCTAAGCTTCAACCGATCACCGCCTGGTGGTGAGCTGGATCAGGTGGCAGGAGGATGCCGGAGAGGCCATGCTCCAGACATCCATTACTGAGCCTGCTGCAAGGAGCTGCGACTGTAAGAGTGTTGGTGCCTTTGGGGTGGTTGTAGCTCAGGTGATAGAGCAGATAAATTGGAAGGTTGGTGGTTTGATCCTCGTCTGCTCCAGTCTGGATGCCAAATATTCTTAGGCAAGATAGTAAACCCAGGTTTGAATGTTAGACAGAAAAAACTTACATAGAAAGAACATAGAAAAGCGTGCCTGTGTGAATAGGCAAGTTGCATGAAAATGCTTTGAGTGCTCAGATAGAATAGAAGAGCACTATATAAGAACCAGTCCATTTACTTTGGTGGTGGCGATGCTGAAACCAGATATCAATGAGATCCGCCCTGAGTTCTTTAAGGCCCTGTATTTTGAAGGGCTGTCTTGGTTGGCACCCTTCTGCAATGTTATGTGGTCTAATTTGTTCTAGGTGAGTGTTGGACTCAGTCCGGGCTGCCCCTTGTCACTGTTCATAATTTTTACAGATAAGATTTCTAGGCGGCAAAGTGCCTGCATTAATGAATTCATACAGTATTAACAGTCATAAAAAGGCAACTGCGCTGGCATGCCGCACTTTTGGGCCGATGGGTCAGTTGAAGGGCTGTTGTGCACCGGCTGTACAATGCTGACAGCAGCCAATTTGTTCATTTTTATTAGCAACACGCCCTGTATAGAATAGACTTCAGTGTGGAAGAAGTGACGAAACGGTGGCACTGAAAAGCTAAAAGAGGAAAAGAAAAAGAAACTAAAAACAGATGGCAGCAAAATATGTAAAATTACCCGTTGGAGCTGCTGATGCTGCACCGTAGTACCAGCAATAACTAGTAACAACTCGTCACGGTAGCACCAGGCTGCAGTTTCAATATCTATAATCAAACAAAATTAAATCCATTTATTTATTTATTTGAGTAATCATGGTGGGCCGCGTGGACCGAAAATGTCAGGGCCAATTTTTTCTCACAGTCCAACCCTTGAAACAACCTGTGGGAGAGAATCATAGATTTTCAGTTTGAGCTTGGCTGAAACTTTAAAAAATTAAATCAGTGCTTTGCACTACACACAGTTCTTGGTGTAAGGGGACACACTCATCGCAGTGCATACTATGACCTGGTGATTTTGGTTGCATTTTTTGACAACCAGCTGCAGTACTCTGGACAGATCTACACTCAGAAAAATAAAGGTGCCAACTGGAACCAAAAGTGGTTCTTTAGACTGATGCCATAGAAGAACCTTTTTTGGTGCCACAAAGAACCTTTCAAACAATGGTTCTTTGAAGAACCATTTCTTTCAGTGGTTCATTGAAGAACCTTTAAAGGTGTCCCAAAGAACCATCAAGAAATGGTTCTTTGGGACACCTTTAATGGTTTTTCAAAGAACCTTTTTAAAAATGGTTCTTTAAAGAACCTCCGTCCGCTCCCGGGAGGTTATAGTATGACGTGTTCTGACGTCACTCTCTCTCCCTGTCATTTATTTGGCTCGAAACACATATTAACAAATTGCTCAGTGATGAA